TCTATTTCTTTTCCAACCTCTTTTATCTCCTCAAGAAGTGTGTTGAATTGCTCATTTGTTTGCGTCTTGGAGACACTGTGCAAACACTAAAGCTAAACCGTAAAGTGTCTTGTTTGTGTATTTCAGCACGTCAGAGATCCCTGTTGATTCAATCAATGACTAGTATGTTGTTCTTCTGCAGAGCGAGCCTTTGTTTATCCCACAAACCTTCAAACACTGACGCCAATGTGTGTTTGCAGCAAAAATCTGTGGTTTAACATGGCGGATCAGACCCTCTTGTGTAAATTGATGATTCACTCTCTCTGCGTTCTCAGCCCTAGAGTTTGGCAGAGATCATTCAAACTGCTGTTTGAGCACAGACGCTCCGAGTTCTCCAACAGAAACTGGTAGGAATCCAGAAATCTCAATCAGAGCAGGACAACAGCTGGACCCACTGCCCTAAATAACTTCAACAAATAAAAAAGAGGCTCTGGGCTCCAACACCACAGCCTGAAAGATGACACTTTCCAGGAAAACTGAGCTTCCTGTGCCATGTTGAAACCTGGTATATAGTGGGCGCAGACGTTGACCAATGGTCTGTCCCGGTTTCGGTCTTATCAGTGGAGCTGCAGATGTTCACCTCTTCAGTAGCTGGTAGAAGAAATGCCCAGAGCACCTGGTAATATCTCCAATCCTCTCTGTCTCACCTGTTCAGGATCGCTTTCAACTATCTGCTATCAGGCTGCGGCATTAGCTGGCTAAAGGGATTTAATTGTCAGTTTTATCTGTAAGTGTTCTCATTGAGTGATGTCATGTCACATTAAAGTGGAGGTGATGCACCAGTGGTGACTGCGCTCATCAGCTTCAGTGGGCGCGAACACACACATACATACACACACCCTCAGCATGATGCAGTAAACAAATTATTAATAAGCTTTGAGTATTGGTTCATTAAATAAGACATTGTTTTTAAAATGCATGTAGTGTTCTTAGTATACAGTATGTATTTGTTAATATTGTGATATTTTTTTCAGACTGTACTTAATACATACTATAGAAATAAATAGTATATATTAAGTATACTAAATCATATAGTACAAAAAAACATTTATTTTAGTACCATTGGACTGAATAGAGTTGAATGACGCAATCAAGTTATATATTTGACTATACATTCATTCATTCGTTTTCTTTGCTTACTCCCTGATTTATCAGGCGTCCCCACAGCAGAATGAACTGACAACTATTCTGATATATGTTTTATACAGTGGATGCTCTTCCAGTTGCAGCCCACTGCTGGAAAACTTAAATATATAAAATTATATATATACACTCACTGGCCAATTTATTAGGTACACCTTACTATTACCGGGTTGGACCCTATTTTGCTTTCAGAAATGTTTAATTCTTCATGGCATAGATTCATTAAGGTACTAGAAATATTCCACACAGATTTTGGTCCATAATGACATGATTGCATAACACAGTTGCTGCAAATTTGTCGGCTGCACATCCATGATGCAAATCTCCCATTCCACCACCTCCCAAAGGTGCTCTTTTGGATTGAGATCTGGTAACTGTGGAGGCCATTGAGTACAGTGAACTCATTGTCATGTTCAAGAATCCAGTCTGAGATTTTTCACGCTTTATGACACGGCACATTATCCTGTTAGAAGTAGCCATCAGAAGATGAGTGAATTGTAGCCTCAGTTTCCTTTTCTTAGCTGACAGGAGTGGCACCTGGTGTGGTCTTCTGCTGCTGTAGCCCATCCGCCTCAAGGCTTCATGTGTTGTGCGTTCAGAGATACTTTTCTGCATTCCTCAGTTGTAGCATGTGGTTATTTGAGTTACTGTTGCCTCTATATCAGCTGGAAACAGTCTGGCCATTCTCCTCTGACCTCTGTCATCAACAAGGTATTTGCGCCCACAGAACTGTGGCTCGCTGGATATTTTCTCTTTTTCAGACCATCCTCTGTTAACCCTAAAGATGATTGTGCATGAAAATCCCAGTAGATCAGCAATTTCTGAAATATTCCGACCAGCCCGTCTGGCACCAACAACCATTCCATGTTCAAAGTCACTTAAATCAAAGCAGCTGATCATCTTGACTGTCTACATGCCTAAATGCATTGAGTTGCTGCCATGTGATTGGCTGATTCTAAATTTGCGAGGCAAAGTGAGTGTATATCTATATGTATATATCTATATATATTAAACTTACTTAGGTTATTTATTCAAATTAATTCAACAATTACCAGCTACTTATTTGTGATTTGGATGTTTTTAGTGTTAGGGAAATCATTTACATTTTTTGTTTTTTTTTTAATTATGTTTACAAATTGATCGCATAAGAAGTCTTATGTGCATATAATGAATTTACTACAAATATTTTTTACATATTGTTTATTTTTTCTTCTTTGGTAATGTCTTATGTATTCAGAACTCCAGCTGCCAAAAAAGTTACAAAAACAATGCTATACCCTGTGGGATGCATTTCACATTACCATGATTGCACTCGAAGCAAAATAGCTCATTAATTGCATTGATTTCTCTTGATAAGTGCTGTAGATTTATTTTATCCCAGTCGGCCTTTCATTGTCCGTGCTGCGGTGTGGGTGCATTATGGTTTACAGTTAATTGAATCCTATTACTTGATAAGCTCCCTCGTTTCCCCTGAAAAAGATTGATGTCGCAGCTGTTGCCTGGTAATGCAGAGCCCACCCAGTGAAGGCCTCGCTTCATTTGTTCACTTTCTGCACATATCAGTACAGTCAGAGCCCACCTGACTGGCAGCTCTGCTAATTCGGTTTACTTTTTCTGAATTTACGCCACATTAGACGGACAAGACTGGAAATGTTGACAACAGAAAGTCGCCACATGAGCTTTTGAAAAGTCCTTCAATCAGCTTTGCTCTGGTTTATAGCCACTCTCTCTGTGCGAGGTGGAGATATGGTTGCTTTTTTATGTTTTTGTCATTCAAAGCAAAGTAGGCACCACTCTTCAGCTCATTAAAAGAGGCTCTGGAACATTTTTGTCCTCTCAGCCTCCCGTCTCTCAATGCCTTAACAGTTTGGCTTGTGTATTTGTTGATATATTGCCAATTACCGCTGTTTCGCTGTTAAGTGCGCTCTTGTTGCTGTGCTTTCGCTCTCATTCCTAATGTGTCTGTTCTCTGACTCCCTTGACTCCGTGAAAGAGCCTTGAAAATGCACAGAAATCGTCTCTCACCCCCTCCAGATCTGCCTTTTTATTGTGTGATCTGCTTCTCTGTGATTAAAAAAAGGGATGAAAGATGGCATTGTTTAAAAAATGTGAAATAACAGCCACTCTTTGTTTGTCCTAATTATACTGTTTCCTCTTAGCCTGCCGGCCACATTGAAGATAATGAAAATAAACTACTTGAGCTACTTGTTCATAAGTGATTTCTCTGACTCTTGCAGTGTTGCTGCTGTGGGAGGAGATGTCACACTATTTTGCCATTAGTTATATACAGTATATGAATGTATTGCTATATTCCCTGAGAAATGGATAAAAGTATTTATTTTCAAGAAAGGGGGTGAACTCATATATGCTGAGCACTATACTATTTATTTTTAATATTTATATATAAATAAAATTTATATATACTATATATATATATATATATATATATATATATATATATATATATATATATATACATACATACACACACTATAATATTTATATATAAATATATTTAAACAAACGAGTTTAATTAAAGTTGTAACCATTAAAATTTGAGATTGGTCACCAACAGGTTAATGAAAAAAACTAAATTTTAACAAAGTTTGATATTTTCTGTTTCTCTTTATTTATTCTGTTTATTAAAAAATATTTAACATTTTCTTCCAACATATTAATTTTGGGGCACTTATTTTGAACTCTTAAGTTATTTTGTGAGAACAGTTCCGGTTTTGGCTTTGGTACTGACTAATGTAATGTATATACACAAATATTATATTTTAAAGCATCCTATAGAAAATATTCATTTAAAAGGGAGATTGGTAAAGGGGTCTACTAATTTATGCTTTTATTTTAATAATTCTATAATTTTATATCAACATAATAATACATTAATTTTGGTGTTGTTGTGGAAAAAAGGTTCTGTTTGCAAAATATTTTCCAAGTTTTCTAAAAAAATAAAGTAGTCAAAGTTTTCAAAAAATAACAAAGTCTGAGATCTCCGAAGTCTCTACATGATGCGATTTGCAGTGATAAGCAATTTGGCTGTTTGCACCAGACAAAGCACGACATGAATTTGAATACAGCCATTCAGAAGCAAAGAATATTCACTCACTCATGAAATTGTAAGGTTTATAATCTTATTAATACATATTAAACTTCTTTAATATTGTTAAATGTGGAGGCTGAATCACTGATATGGGTTGGTTTTGAATCACAATTTTAAAGTTCAATTTCAAATGGTTTATTTTAGTTTTAAGATCTGAGATAAACTGTCTGCTTCTACTTTCAGTAGTATGGCCATAAATGTCATTTAAAATGGCATTCAAACTCACATTTTTTGTATTTAACACTGAATAAAGCACATGAGGTGTACCTGAGGTGATCATTGTCACTTTTCTGTTGTTCAGCAGCAAGAAATAGAAGCTGTTTTCTAATATATCAATTCCAGGAGTTGGTTACAACAAAAACTCAATTTAATATGGAAAATATTCCTTCTATCGTGTGCCATTGCTTTTAGAACACAATTTAAATTGTTGGTCCTCAATCTGGCAACCTGCGCTTGTTAGCGTTTGTTTTGATCCAGGAAAGCAATACATAATTCAACCATTGGGTGTCAAGCTTACATACTGCACCTTTAATTAAGTGTTTTAAACAAGCAGCACCAGTAATATTTGAGTGTTCTTTGAGAGAAACTCTACATTTAAATTAGACATTTACTGGAGATATAGAGAAACTGACAGAATAAATGTTCTGCTCAATCTGAACCGAGAGCTTCATGTTAAGTGTTTTGTTTTGTTCTCTGTGTGTTTGTGCAGTGTTGCTGAGGGAGGAGGTGGCGCAGTTACAGGAGGAGGTGCATCTCCTGCGGCAGATGAAGGACATGTTGAGTAAAGATCTGGAGGATTCTCACGGCGGCTGTTCGGCCGATACGCTCTCCGCCGCTGAGCTCAAGGTGCAGCTGGGGGAGAAGGAGCAGGAGCTGGAACGTGCCAAGGAGGCCTTACAAGGTCTGAAGCCCAATCACAAAGCCAATATTGCAGGATTACTGCCAAAAACGTTTTTCCTTGCACACACAACAACTTTTTCAAAACAATCTGCAAAATATCCACTTATTGCTTTATTAGGTATGCCAGGTCAGTGTTAGTTAGCAAACATTATCTATTGACCTTATTCTGCATTGTGATAGTGCGTGCGATTAATTATGCGACTTTTGATTCATTCGTCTATAGGGGCAGGGAGTAGGAATAACAAATGCCAATGAACTGTTAAAAGTACTTTGTCTACAAATAAGCTTGTTTCTGACAACATATAACAATAAAAATAATATAATAATAAAATGCAAGGGATGTTCTACCAGAAACAAACATTATCTGTCCCTGAAATAAAAACATTCATACAATGAATGAAAAATATTCCATCCCTAACATTTCTAAAACAGATGGTTGATTTCTGAGAGCTGTTCTGTAAAGGAAAATGTCATTCATTTGGTTCTCAGATTTTTGTTCTGTTAAAATCACTTTACAAATGTACAAATCCAGTTACTATGACCATTTATGTGAAGCTGCTTTGACACAATCTACATTGTAAAAGCGCTATACAAATGAAGCTGAATTGAATTGAATTGAGCAAACCCTGTCATTGGCCTTGTCCTCCACCCAATTGAATCTACAACTTGCAGCTTTTTTCACAGATCTACCAACTACCTATGGCGTTTTTTCAATGACAAATGTTGTGAGCACAGTATTGCAAGTTGAGAGTGCATTGATGTAATACGATCATGCAAATCTTTTTGCTTGCGCACGGATTTTCTCTATTCTTGCAGAAAACTTCTTGCACCCTCTCAAATATACACTGCTCAAGTGCAGATTTTCTTGTGCGCTCTCAAATAAACGCTGCTGAAGAGCGATTTAGTGCATTTATGTAACGAGTATGTCTCCAACATTTATTAGATTTGCTAGGAATATTTATGAATGTCTCCAATAGACCTACAGAGCGGCATTAATGCATCCTGAAGTAAAGTTAAAGGACTATAAACTCCAGCAAGATAAAGTTATTAAATGTAGAGCCCTAGATCTTTATCTGTAAATTATAATTATGAAAACTGTGTTGATCCTAACTGAAAGCTACATCATGTTTGCGAGTCTCACGCATCGCGCAAGCCCTGTCAGTCAGTCAGTCAGTCAGCATGTAACCTAAAAGGGTTAAACAAATAACGCACAGCACTACTACGGTTACAGAAAAGTTCACTCTGTTATAATTCACTTACCTTTTAATACGTTTAGGTGCGATTATAACGCGCTATTAAAAAAATGACTGAAACTTTTGAATGAGAAGCTAAGATGTAGTCGTTGTGGGATAAATTTTGGTTTGGCACCTTACTGTTTATTAGTTTTGTTTGGCTAAAAACTGTTCTTTCGGAAAAAAAAATAGTTCAAGCAAGTTTACGTTGTTGTCATTTACATCACAAAGAATAAGGCCGTTGTGGAAGTGATGACATATCTGCAGCCGCTTGGCACTGGTGTGTATGTAGAATTTGCTGTGTGTATGTTATGTGAAGTAAGTCCACACTTTGCTGATAAAGCATTAGTTAACTTAAAAACAACAACATTTCCATACACTCTGCCATAGTTGTACATTTTTGTTCATGCTTACTAATGGCAACTAATGGTAAGAGGAGTGTGGTTGGGAATATTGTGGCTGAAGCCATCAAACTGACGTAAACAGAAAAAAAAACGCCACTCCAAAAAAAGAATTGTGCCGTAACACACTTCTATTTTAGACCACAAATAGATTCACTATTTAAACAACGTGGTGCAAATCGTGAAAATTAGGGTTAACCTGGTCTAAAAATAGCAAAAAACTGAGCCAAACATGTCTTACACCTTATTGCGTCAGGTGCATGAAAGGGCCCAAAAAGTTTCTTATTTTTGGCTGAAAACATTGTCTGTAAATGGCCCTAATGCCAGCTGTTTCTTTTAAAAACATGTAAAAAAAAAAGAAAGTCAATTAATTCCAAACCTTTATAAGTAGTAAAGTAGATATTATAATAAATAGTTTAGTGAATTTAAAATAAAGTGCTATTTTCCATCACCTTTTAATACTGATGTTGTTAGTCAAGAGAATGAAAGACAGTAAAGATGAAAGAAATATTATCAGAGGAAAACTTTTAAGTATGAGGCGAGTATTTTAGTTGAGAGTGTAACACATGCCTTTCCTACCTTTTACTGCAGCATATATATATACATTTATATATATATATGTGTGTGTGTGTGTGTGTGTGTGTGTGTGTGTGTGTGTGTGTGTGTGTGTGTGTGTGTGTGTGTGTGTATGGCTTATCTGCTGTCTGTTATCTGAGGTGTAATGCTCTATTAGTTCAGTTGAGAGAGTTGTTTAAACAGAACGTAAGGGCTGACGAGAGGAGCAACATGTTGATACATAGCGTCATTAATTCAGAAAAGTGTCTAAATAATGTTTTGTTGAAGCCTGAGCTGGATTCAGAAAAAGGAAGAAGAAGATTTTATAAATGTGGTTTAAACAGGAGCTGACATAAAGTGTCAATTAATAAGATAAAAATGTGTATTAGTTTCAATATTATATTGATCAAATATGACAGCTAGTAAATTTCTTTGAAAACGCTGTTCTTTTGATCTTTCTGTTCTTCAAATAATTTAGGAAAAACATTCTGGAGAAACACTGATAATGAGAAAGATTCTTGATCAACAAATCAGCATATTAGACTGATTTCTGAAGGATCAGACATAGATATTTGACTTTATATACTCTATGTATAATGTGTTACTTTATGTTTTATCGTGTGTGTGTGTACACCTGTCCAACTGCTCGTTAATGAGAATTTCTAATCAGCCAATCACATGGCAGCAACTCAATGCTTTTAGGCATGTAGACATGGTCAAGATGATCTGCTGCAGTTTAAATCGAGCATCATAATGGGCAAGAAAGGTGATTTAAGTGACATCGAACATGGAATGGTTGTTGGTGCCAGACGGGCTGGTCAGAGTATTTCAGAAACTGCTGATCTACTGGGATCTCTAGGGTTTACAGAGAATGGTCTGAAAAAGAGAAAATATCCCTTGAGCGTCAGTTCTGTGGGCACAAATGCCTTGTTGATGCCAGAGGTCAGAGGAGAATGGTCAGACTGTTTCCAGCTGATTAAAAGCCAACAATAACTCACATAACCACTCGTCACAACCGAGGTATGCAGAAGAGCATCTTTAAACGCACAACACATCGAACCTTGAGGCAGATGGGCTACAGCAGCAGAAGACCACACCAGGTGCCACTCCTGTCAGCAAAAAACAGAAATCTGAGTCTACAATTCGCACAGGCTAACCAAAGATTGAAAAAAACGTTGCCTGGTGATAGGTCTTGATTTCTGCTGTGACATTCGGATGGTAGGGTCAGAATTTGGCAGAAATCATCTCAGACTGGTTTCTTAAACATGACAATGAGTTCACTGTATTTAAATGGCCTCCACAGTCACCAGACTTCAATCCAATAGAGCACCTTTGGGATGTGGTGGAGAAGGATATTCGCATCATGGATGTGCAACCAACAAATCTGCAGCAACTGGAGGATGCAATCATGTCATCATGGACCAAAATCTCTGTGGAATATTTCCAGTAGCTTGTTGAATCTATGTCACGAAGGATTAAGGCAGTTCTGAAGATAACAGTGGGTCCAACCCGGTACTAGTAAGGTACCTAATAAAGTGGCCAGTGAGTGTAATTACATTCTTACATTTAATAAATATGGCTTGTTTTTTAGACAATTCAGTCAATCAAAATAATTTAGTTAATTCGTTTGTGTCTGGAGGCTAAAGCTACACTAAACGAACAGCAGCTTGTCAGTATCTACAGCATAACCTGACATCACATTTTAGTCTGTACATGTACAGTTTTTACATGGTTGGGCAAAGAAACCAACAGAAATGTCTTGAAAATGTCAGCTGAATCCTCACGCACTGAACACTCAAAACTGTGGCAGACATTACAGCGGGTCAACTGTGTTACTTGACACTCAGTCATTTAGTGTGTAATGTAACACCTGTAGAATCCAAACAGGAACTGGAGCAAAACTAAACTGGATTCTGCTCTTTTTTTGGCCCTCATTGGAGAAAATGGGGGTAGAGAGAGAAAGTCAAGTACTTGTGAACGTCAGCCTCTTTTATTTGAAATGATAAGTGGAAAAACGGGTTTGACTGTTCGAAGGGGGAAAAGACAGTTGCCTCAAGTAAAATAAATGATTTACTTTTTACAAGTTACAAGATGGCACACTTTAAGCTGTAAATGGAGTGCTAATAAAAGATACACCTCACACTTCCTGTCACATTAAATCCATTAAACTGAGATGCATTTGTGTGTGTGATGTTAATTATTCCATAGCAAACAGCACAAATGTCTTTTTTTTCTCAGTGTTGAATGTTTTTAGTGGAGCATGATGCCACCTGGAGGTTATTTTGGGCAGCACAAGGCACCATTTTTTTATTGTAAATAACTGAGAAATCATCTTTTATTTTATTTTTTTAAGATGTTTTTTATTGCAATATTTGATTATTTCATTAAAAATATATCTAAGTAAAGAAATAAAATGGATAGTAAGTAATTATGTTTCTGACTAAATTTTGAAAAGTGATCATTTATTTCTCAAAAATACAAGTTATCAAGAATTTAAATTCATCATTTATTTCTTAATAATATTAATATTTGGTTGCACTTCAGTATAAGGTTCCATTAGTTAATGTTAGTTCATGTATTTACTAACTTGAGTAAACAATGAACAGTACATTAATTACAGTGTTTATTAATCCTTAAAGTTAGTTATTCAAAATAAAGTCATTTAGTTTTAGTTCTTGTTAACACAATGCATACTGTACATAATGATAACTAGAATACCTTTAAATTGTAATAACCCTTTGACTGCCCCTCTAACTAATAATTGACCATGTTTTGACTGTTTTAAATAATGACTGTTAAATTAATTTTATGAATGACATAATGGCTTACACACACAGCATTGTTGGTTTATAAAAAGAAAGCAAACATAATCCTGTTGCACGACTACACTTGGTTTTGGTTTTATTGTAAAAAAACAACCATAACAAAAAACAAGAAAACATGTTAAATGAGAATCTGAAGTATTTTATGGCATACTTCAAAAAAAGTGATTTGGGATTCTAATATATTTTATTTTGAATATAATGAACATATTTGTCAGATTTTTCAAAGTATGTGTTAAGCCTGGTACTTTTACCATAAACCGACATATCAACCATTTTGTTGGAGGCTTATATTTTAGAAATTGTAAGGTGTGTAGAAAAAACTGCATTGAGTGTGTTAACTAGCAACATGAGGAGCTAAGAAATACAATCCAAACATGTTTTTCATGGTGGGGTAGTTGAAGGGGGCGAAGCGCAGTAGGTAGTGCTGTCGCCTCACAGCAAGAAGGTCGCTGGGTCGCTGGTTCGAGCCTCGGCTCAGTTGGCGTTTCTGTGTGGAGTTTGCATGTTCTCCCTGCGTTCGCGTGGGTTTCCTCCGGGTGCTCCAGTTTCCCCCACAGTCCAAAGACATGCGGTACAGGTGAATTGGGTAGGATAAATTGTCCATAGTGTATGAGTGTGTGTGAATGTGTGTGTGGATGTTTCCCAGAGATGGGTTGTGGCTGGAATCTAAATTCATGTTAGTAAATAAATACATTAACTAACAAAACTTTCCTTTAAAGTGTCATTAAAATAAATTACTATTTTATTATAAATATGAAAAAATATATTTAAAATTTGTTATTAAACTGTTTTTTAAGAATACAAATTAGAATAACTTGTTTGCTTTTATTTAGTCTCTTTTTAAGTTTAAAGTTTGTATTTGTGTTGCCTTTTGCTATAACATTAATTTTATATTGCTATTATTTCATTATTTTTATAGTATTACTGACACTGACATTATTTTTCTTTAAAATTATGTTTATGTAAATCATTGAATGAATTTTTTAATGGATTTATTCCACTGATAATAATAAAACAACAGACACGAATCCAGCTTCTAAATATGTCTAATAAACCACTTTTATTGAGTTTAAGTCTATTTATTCTGTACACACACTACTCTGTATATCCACAGCTCTTATCTATCAGACAGGGTCACAAACCACAAAAGTGTGTCATCGAAGGACACAAAGCCTGTGTTTGTCTTGCGGCCACACTGAAAATTCTAAATGATGAGTGTTATTATGTAGGAGATGCTCTGATAGGATATGCTTGTGCGACAGCAGTCATGACTGTGTGTTTATGTGTGTGTTTGTGTGCAGCTATGAAGGGTGACCGGAAGCGGTTGAAGGCAGAGAAAGCAGACCTGGTAAACCAGATGCAGCAGCTTTATACCACACTGGAAAGCAGAGAAGAGCAGCTCAGAGACTTTATCAGAAACTATGACCAGCACAGAAAGGTGACCACACTTCAGTTCAATTACACTGTGCAGTTTTGTTGTTTAATGTGGGTTTGTTTATTCAATAGTACTTAAATGTTGACCTTAGTACTTCTACAAAAGTGATAAGAGGCAAATTTCTAAGCAAGTAAAAGCAGGGCCAAAAACTGATATTAAACATGCTCCCAGATCCACATATAATGCATTCTCCAGTGTCCTAACCTAAAAGGAGTATGTTTGACTTTGTGTTATTCTTCAGGAGAGCGAGGACGCGGTGAAGGCTCTGGCTAAAGAGAAGGACATGCTGGAGCGAGAAAAATGGGACCTGCGCCGGCAGACCAAAGAGGCCACAGAACAGGCCACTGTCCTGCGCTCACAGATCGACATGAAGGAGAACAGAGTCAAAGAGCTGGAGGCCGAGCTCACTATGGTGAGATTACATCAGATCGTCTCACTCTCACGCACATACATTCACACTTTTGCAGAAACACTCACACCTCCTATATGCAGTAGGTTTAAAGAGGATGTATAATGAACAATTGACTTTTATAAGGTGTTTGAACGCAGATGTGTCCCCAGAGTGTGTGTAAACAGACAGCACCTTATGGGAAAAAACAGCCATTTCTTTTTATCATCCACATAAATCCTGAAAAGTCTCTACAAATTATCAATTTCTGATTTCCACTCAGGCCCTGTTTACACTAATACATTTTAGTTTTAAAACAGCATTTTAGAGTGAAAACTATCTACATCCACACTGGCGTTTCATCTAATATTTCTGAACAGCTCTCTGTCCACACCACACCGCTGAAAACGCACATCATATGACTACACACACACACACTGGAATGTGCTACTGCATATGCACTTGTCTGAGCTCCAGGCAGTCAGTGGGTGCTTTAAGCACACCTCCCCAGATGAGAGCAGAGCACATCGGACAGTTCTTCAAGGATCTTCCACTGGATTTCATCTCACTATAGTTGGTAAACGTAATATATAATTCATCTTGGGCTCTATTTTGACGATCCATGCGCAAAGAGCATGGATTACACACATTCTGGGGACACATCCGCATCAGTTGCGCAAAAGCAATTACGGCATGTCAGAATCCACTTTTGCTAATTTAAGGACGGAAAAATTCGATTTCCGCGGCGGCACATGGTTTAAAAGGGTTGAGCTTATTTTTAATGAGTTATAGGTGTGTTTTGAAAATAAACCAATCAGAGTCTCATCTCCCATTCCCTTTAAGAGTCAGTTGCGTTGCGCCATGGCGTATTTGCTATTTACATGACGAACTTAAGTGGAATGAATGAATGAATGAATGAATAAATGAATGAATGAATGAATGAATGAATGAATGAATGAATGAATAAATAAATGATAAATAAATGAATGAATGAATGAATATGAACTGAAACTAAATAGATTGTTGCATGTTTTACGATATGCTGTAAGAAATTTTAGCATGTATTGTTTTTACCACGCATATGTAGAAATTGCATGAAACATTAGGTCATGAAAATTAACTTGAAAGTCTTGAAGGAAATATGGAAAAGTCATGGAATTTTAATAGATAAAATGTGTATAAACCCTGAAGTTATAATTGTCTCTGACTTTATTCATAGAGACAGGAGCTACTCATGGTAGATTAATTTCATTTTAAAAATGCCCACCATCAGCATAATTCACAAACACATATTTATTATAGTCAGGCAACTGACTTAAGCTTTTTGTGAAGATAACATTATAGCAGTATGGCCTCAGAGTTGGAGGTGCTGGCTCTCATCCCAGCCACGTCACACTCGGCAGCAAACCGCCCCAGTGCATGCTGAAGATCCACGTTCGATGAAGCCAACAGAACAACATTGTCTGTGAATAACAGGGATGAAATCCTGAGGTCCCCGAATCAGACCCCCTCCAGCTCCACCAGAAAAATGTAGTTTGCCATCTCCTGGGTGGAGGAAAGTCCTTACCCCAGGTGGAGGAGTTCAAGTATCTTGGAGTTGTGAGGGAGGGATGGAGCATGAGATTGACAGTTGGATTGGTGCAGTGTCAGCAGTAATGTGGTCCATGTAATGGTCCGTAGTGTTAAAGAAAGAGTTGAGCCAAAAGGCAAATCTACGTATCTACTCTCACCTATGGTCATGAGCTTTGGGTCATGTCTGAAAGGACAAGATCTCGAATAAAAGCAGCCGGAATGAGTTTCCTTCACAGGGTGAGGAGCTCTGTCACCCGAGCAGTGGCTCAGAGTAGAGCAAATGCTCCTCCACATCGAGCGAAGTCAGCTGAGGTGGCTCGGGCATCTGTTTCAGATGCATCATGGACGCCTACCTATAGAGGTGTTCCAGGCATGTTCCAGCGGGAGGAGGCCTCAGGAAGACCCAGGATATGCTGGAGGGAATATGTCTCTCAGCTGGCCTTGGAACGACTTGGGATCCCCCTAGAGGTGCTGGAGGAAGTGTCTCATCTACGATTGCTGCCCCTGCGACCTGGCCTCAGAAAGGCTGATTAAAATGAATGAATGAATAACATTATAGCATATTAATAGTGTAATGTTATTTGCAAAAGCCAGCTCATCAGAATAGACCAGTAGCATGCTAGTTAATGATTTTAATCAAATTTACTCCACAACAACAACTGCATACATTTATTCACTAACCATTCAGAAACATGCTGCTTTTGTCCAGAAGTTGTAAACTTCTTCTTCTCCATTATTATCTGACACTAGTTTAAATGTGAGGCTTTAATCCTTTAACATTTTAGCTGTGTGAGATTCACTTGTTTTGTTTCTGGAGTGTCAGAATAGCATAAAGGCTACACCTGCTTCTGGAAAGCTGCAGCTCATTTGCATTTAAAGGGTCACACTCAAAAGCAGCGTGTTTTTGTTCAAACCCAAAAAAGGACGAATTTGACAAGCTATAATTAATGATCTGTGGGGTCTTTTAAACTGAAATTCTGCACACATTCTGGGAACACCACATCTTGTAAAATGGTGCATAATATGTCCTTATTAACCCATTCTCCACTTGTCTTATCATTGGAGGCCCTCAAATGTCACCTCAGCGGCTTGAACCGCAGATAAATCAGCCTCAACATTCATCAGTTAAGATCCACAGATGGATCATGGGACTCCAGCTGATCTGCATTATGCAATTTTACGTTTTGCTGGCTTGGCATTAGGATGTGCAAACATGCGTATGGACACACGCAGTCACTCAAAACTCCCATGAAGAGGCACATGGCTGTCGACAGTGCAGTAATGGCATCATTATTCACTTCATCTTCCTAATCTGTTGTGCCCGTGTGCCCCACCATTACTACACACACACAGACACACACACACGCAAAGTATTTCAAGCGAACTAATGATTTCACTCCCACTGAGATAGTGAGATTATCTTTTTTCCCCCCTAGCAATCTGATGGGCTAGATTTTTGGTTACTTGTACAACTAGAATTTGGGGAATGGGAAAAAGTCAACTTTATTAATGTGCAGGGAGCTCCAATTTTTTTTGTTGTTAAACCTGAGATAATGTGTTTGCTATGCAAATGTCTTGATTTTGACAATATTTTATTATTCAGTTTTAGTTTTACTGCAGTTTTAGATTTACTGCAGTTCTCAGTTTATTTAGAATTTTAGAACTTCTTTTATTTTTACTTTTCTTTTAATATTTTTTTTTTATATTTATTGACTTTTATTTAATTGTGTTTAAAATCCACATAAACCGGAAGCTGTTGAGATTTTTATTTTAGTATGTTGATGTACTTCCAACTGAAAATGAATATTGTGTTGGGGGCGGGGCTTTCTTTTTGTGCATTACTACTAGGGGTGTGATGAGATTCTTACTTCATGAGATTGGATTGAGATGAAACTTTTATTCAACTAAAAATTACAAACTGCAAAACTATTTAAGTGCTTTTTTTTAAATTAACTTGTAATGAATGTTATTTTACTTCTATTTTAATGAATTACGCCATAAAGGACATGCAGTTACTGACAATAATTTGCTATAAACCCCACTAATTGGACAAACTCTGATGAGAGTATGGACTGAAAGGAGAGAGCCGTTTTAATGGAATTTGATGCCGCAAGCCAGTATGTGTGGCTGCAGTTGTAACAGCCTTTGCTTTTGGAAAAATCGCAACCTTTGAACACCAGTGAAAAAAAATGTCACATCCTCCCAAGCAAATGAGTGATGCGCAACACCAAAACAGCCAAGTGTGTACAAAGCACTTAATTTGGGTTTCAAATCCAATTCTGCCTCCAATCTTCAGTGCTAAATTCACCCTCGCGCTACATCATAACATTACAACTATGAGACAACTTTTCACCTCGACGAGAAATCTCGTCGCAATTGAGTCTTGCGAGATCTCAAAGCCCGAGATCTCATCACACCCCTAATTATTACCTCTTAGCAAACTAACAGTATTAGGGGTATGGTTAAGAAAATTGTGGCTGAAGCTGTCAAACTGACGTCGACAGAAGGAATGCAGAAGAAAATGGCCAGACTTTGATTGAAGATTTACTTGAAGATTAGCAAAACAATTGTTTTTTCAGTGGATTAACTGAGATAACAATGTGCGCTAGCAAAATCAACAAATTAAGCAACATGAACAATGTTATTTAGTTTGAGCAAAATAAATGCACTTCTCACTTCTTTTCTGTGTTTCATCTAGTGGAAGGATTTTTGTGACAAATCTTATTTTTTACACATATTTTGAGAAAATGCTTTGAATTTTAAAAAAATAATAATAATAAAATTAACAATACACTCTGGGCACATTAACTTGTTTTGTTAGAGATGAAAACATCCACTAAAGTAAACTGCTGTAAAAATGCATCAAATATATATATTTATTTATTTATTTTGTTGCAAAAATCTGTTAATCAACTCAGTCTTGATCAAAACTACTAAATCGTTTAGAAAACTACAGAGTTTTAACTCTTTAATTGCCAAATTCAGAAAAGATGTCACCAGTTTAATGAAAATAACACATTATAAAAAGCAATTGTGGACTGGATATTTTTTTACCTTTTATCAAAGTCCTGGACATGGTCTTTTTGGCTGTTCTTGCCCCATTGACTTCCATTATAACCACATTTTTTATCACAAAAACATGACACCATTTAATCATGCATTTTTGGTTGTTGGTGGTTTTCCCTGTTGGCAAGAGATAATTTGTCATTTTTACTGTTGATCATCAGTTGGAACCATTAACCCTTTAGATAGGTCTATACAAAAAAGCTTAGTTTCTGGACTTTATATGGACTCTGAACTCTATATGTTTGTGAGAGGGACCTTTGCGCACTTACCATTATGTGTCTGAGAAAATCAAAATATGCATCTCAGCTATCAGAATTACATGGAGTAAACTAAAACAAACAACTGGTGCTCGCTGCAGAGCCATTTGGGCGAGCTGAGCTCCAGCGAGGGGAAGCTTAAGCTTGAGCTCCACCTTTTTTGCACTTCTTCTACGAGTGATGTCACTGGGGGTAGGGTTAGGGGTGGGGTTGGTGTACGCATTAAAACAGCTTACAGGAGGCAGAACGAGAGCTCATGCACCCTCTCAAAACAAAGACTGTGTTTTTATGCGCCATCAAACGTGGCTATAATGGAAGTCAATAGGGCAAAAACAACCACAAACTCCAAATTAGAGAGAGAAAATGAAAATCTAACACTGCATCAAGTCAGTGTTGGTACTAATGTTTTACATGTCCAAGACTGTGATAAAAGGGTAAAGAAATCCAGTCCACAATTACTTTTTATATTGAAAAGAAGCCATTTTGTGTGTTTGTTTTTTTTACCAAATCAGTGGCATCATTTGTGAATTTGGCAATTAAAGAGTTTAAATCCTGTAAATTTTCTAAACAATTTGTCTGATACATTTTACAGCAGTTTAACTTAGTGGATGTTTTCATCCTGAACATAACAAAAGGGTAGTAAATTTAAACAGTGCACAAGGGTTAAAAATACTTAATTCTGAAAAATGTTAACAATGATCATGTGACTTTATAAGGCTGGAGGACATAAAAACTATTTTTTATGAAACTTATACATCAATAATATGATTTTTAATTTGTAGATCAAAGCAACGTAGGTCTCAGAATGTAACACCCAATTATATAAATCATCTTATGTACACAACTATAATGTGTGTGTGTGTGTGTGTGTGTGTGTGTGTGTGTGTGTGTGTGTGTGTGTGTGTGTGTGTGTGCGTGCGTGCGTGCATGTGTCTTCGCTGTTTTTGGTATCAGGCGAAGCAGTCTCTGGCCACCCTCACTAAAGACGTGCCAAAGCGTCACTCTCTGGCAATGCCATCAGAGCCAGTGGTCAACGGCAGTCAGGAGTGGGTGATGCAGGCAGACCTTCCTCTCACTGCAGCCATCAGACAGAGCCAACAGACCCTGTACCACTCGCATCCCGCAGACAGGCAAGGTACTGGCCCGCAAAAACACCATACACACTCAATGTCTTCTTTCCATGTCTATCCATAGCTTGATAAAATGTATGTTTTATAAATAAATGCACACAAACATAAATGAATATACTTGTACATATTTTATTTACATATATTTTAGTATTTATATATAATATTGTTAGATATACACTCACTGGCCACTTTATTGGGTACACTTACTAGTACCGGGTTGGACCCCCTTTTGCCTTCAGAACTGCCATAATCCGTCGTGGCATACATTTAACAAGGTATTGGAAATATTTCTCAGAGATTTTGGTTCATATTGACATGACAGCATCACACAGTTTCTGCAGATTTGTCGGCTGCACATGCATTATGCAAATCTCCCATTCCACCACATGCCAAAGGTGCTCTATTGGATTGAGATCTGGTGACTGTGGAGTCCATGTAAAGAGTGGTTATTTTAGTTACTGTTGCCTTTCTATCAGCTCAAACCAGTCTGGGCATTCTTTGGCATCAACAAGGCATTTGCGCCTACAAAACTGCCGCTCATTTAGACCATTCTCTTTAAACCCTAGAGATGGTTGTGCATGAAAATCCCAGTAGATCAGCAGTTTCTAAAATACTCAGTCCAGCCCATCTATCACCAACAAACATTCCATGTTCAAAGTCACTTAAATCAACTTAGTTCCCCATTCTGATGCTCAATTTGATCTGTAGCTGATTTACCATGTCTACCTGCCTAAATGCATTGAGTTGATGACATGTGATTGGCTGATTGAAATTGTGCGTTTACAAACAGTTGGACAGGTGTACCTAATAAATGGCCGGTGAATGAACATATTATATTTTTATTTATGTATGCCAATGTGTATTTATATATACATATAAAATATACACTGTATACCCAAAGTTATTATGTGAACATAACCTCACATAAATATGCAATTATTCACAATTAATTTGGGGTGGGTGGGTGTCGTTAAGGATTTGGAAAGTAAAAATAGGGCTATACTGGGAAAAAAAATGCTGGGAACCACTGTTTTAGCCCACTCTCACAGCTGTCTTGTATTGTGCAGCTGCTTTGAGGATCAGCCCCTGTCACTCGCGTCAGCCCTCCATCATCTCGGACGCTTCGGCTGCTGACGGCGACCGCTCGTCCACCCCGAGCGACATCAACTCGCCCCGCCACAGGACTCACTCTCTCTGCAATGTAAGAGCTGCCTGGCACCCCCGACCAAGTAATCAGCCTTCCCAACTTGTTTTTATCTCCACCTTCACTCTACTCAAATATTCAGTCCCTGCGCTGCTCATTAGCATGGCTTCAGGGGCTTGATGGAGGGTTATGCTGATAAATAAATAAGTAAATAAAATACTGTTTGGAGCTTTTGAGGATTGTAGTCACGCTCCATAAGACTGAACCAGATGGGTAGTTTTGAGCACATTTTGGCCTGAAAAATCAAATGTTATTTAAGTATTGTTTAAATAAAAAAAATTTAACTGTTGAAATATATTTTAATTCATTTTAATTAAGTGTTAGAATTAAAATTGTATTACTTTAGCTCAGTTTTTTCCCAAAGTAATGTTTATCTTTTTAAGCATTTTTTTTAAGCTTAAAGTGTTAGTTCAATAAAAATGTTCTTATTAATTTCTTGCCTTCGTGTTGTTCCAAACCCCCGAGACGTTCGTTAATCTTCAGAACACAGATTAAGATATTTTAGGTGAAGTCTTAGAGCTTCCCAATCCTCCATAGGCAGCAAGCTTCCAACTCCTTTAAAGTTTAGAAAAAGAAATATATCCTCAAAACAGACTATTTGCCTTCAGCGGTTCAGTCAGGATGTTAGAAAGCTACAAGCATACTTTTTTTTGAGCAAATAAGATGTGAATAATTATTTTGTTAAAGTTTCTTCTCCTCAGTGTTGATATGGTGCACATTAACAAGAGTGCTGTGCTCCTGTGTCGTGCTTCATCGTGCCTCTGACGTATACCTTGAATAAAGCTGTGCTTTTTTTTTTCCAAACAGAGAATGTTGCGCATGGGCATCCGTGATATCCATGTACATCAGTGCACAGTACTCTCCTGAACATGCACAATATACTGACACTGAGGGAAAAAAAACATTATTTTTGTTTCATGTGAACACAAAAGCATTCTTGATAATATTCCAACTAAACCACTGAAGATGCCTTTTAGGATGTTTCGAGTAACACTCTGGACTTTGATCGAGTTGAGACCATTGCTGTATATAGAAGATGAGGGAACTCTCAGATTTTACCTAAAATATCTAAAGTATTCTGAAGACAAGCAAAGATCGCAGAGGGTTTTAACAACATGTAATGCTACATTGTAATAACATAACTTTCATTTTTTGGCGTGAACTAAATATTGTGATGCTTGTATTACTCATAGATATTTGCATAGATGTTGCCTACGCTATTGTTGTCTACTGGAAGGAATGCATCAATAGAGCCGCCATTTTAGTACAGGGTAGCACTCTTTTGAAATGAATGTGGTACCAAGGTGCAGTGGAGGACTAGCCATCCAGAGCCTGAGATATATATATATATATATATATATATATATATATATATATATATATATATATATGATCAGGAGTTTTCCCGGTGGTCAGTATGCAAATATTTTTTTATATGTATGGAAATGTATTATCCTCTCTCCCTGTTAAATTTAATCTAATCCGTGTCCTGAAACACACCCCCTCTCCTGCTTTCACTTCTCATTCTAACGGAGGGAGCGATTCGTTTGTGAATTAATCTTCGTTACGAACGACCGTTTCACTTAGCCGACAATAATACAAGTTTCTTGCAGTGCAGCATCTTGTCATATTTTATTTACATTGTTTGCTGAATTTATTCAACAAAACTAGCATAAGACTGGTATTTAGTGCGAGTTGGTGCTACTTTGCCTCATGGTCAGTGCAGTAAGAGACTGTAATATCATCAATAACGTTACTTGTTTAGCACAAAAGTTCGTAACATACAAAAATCGTAAAAAATTAAATCTTACCTATGAAATGTTCTGCCTTTGTGCTTTGTTTTCTTTGTTTGCTTGTTACTACACCTGTAAGTCCAGCATCTTCATATTGGCCTTAGTGTTGACTAGTCCGGCTGAATGACATTTGTCCTGGGAGCACTGTACAAATGTGGCGGCGCTATTGGTGCATGCTCAGGGTCCGTATGCGATATCTAGTCTATATATCTATGTGTATTAGGCATGTATTAGGCACGACTTACATATTGGATCAGTTGTAGTGTCCAGGCTAGTACAGCTGATCAGTTTGCAGTTAGTAAAAAGGTTTTCATACTGGCCAGGCTGAAAGACCAGTCTTGACGAGCAAACTATTTCAGACTGGTCTCAGTAGAGAGCCTGTACCAGTTTGCTCCTCTTTCCGCCTGTCTGTGCCAGTTTGGGCTTTTGGGTGCTTAGACTGAGAGACCAGTTTAAAAAAAAAAGGCAGTTTAAAATTGCCAAAATATCTAGAAGCCTATACTGCCATCTGAAGGCAAAGCACAGTAACTACACAATTGGTCAAAACAGAGTTTGCTGTTGTGATATCTGTTCTGTTCTGTGACAATGTCTACTGGTTCAGTGGTGTCCTGCTTCATAGGAGTAAATGACTTATCTACCCACAATGTGACTGGTTGGTGCAAAAAAACTATCTTTAAAGTGTAAAGTATGTAGTTACTGCATTTTGGCTATGTAGGGGTAGCTTAGTTGTTTCTCAGAGCCAGGTTGAGCTGGTCTGTTGGGTAGTTTTAAATGGATTTTGATCCTTCAAATCAGTCCAGCAAATTATATTGTACTAGTTTTAACATGGAGCATATACTGCTTTGCTCCTCTTCCAGACTGGTTTTGCTGGACTGCCTGTTAGATTTAAGTTTTTTTAGAGGGTATAATCAACAAAATCATAATAACACACACACACACAAAAAATCTCATCTCTGCTGACCAGAAATGTATCCAGCTAATTGACTGTTTCATCAGTCATCATACTGAGCATTATTATTCCTGCCTCTCTTATTTCTGCGAGTGCTCCATTTGTACTTTTTTAATAATACTGTACGTTTCTACAGTCATACAGCAGGGACAGCTTTAGTAGAGCAAACAATTATGAAAAAGCATAAAGTGTCTGAACCCCTGAAGCTGTGCTGATGAGCAAGAGCAGATATTCCTGAGATTTCTGATGTAACCACACAACTGACCTGTCCTCGTATGTCCACCATTATTTTTCTATTCTCTCTTCTCCTTTCTCTCTCGCTGTCTCTGTTTCTGCCCTTTCTTCTTCTTCTTGCTTCAGTCCATGGAGGACCTCGAGGACCAGAAGCGTAAGAAGAAGAAGGAGAAGATGAGTCTCGGCTCACTTTCTCGAGTGTTTGCCCGGGGAAAATCTCAGCGCAAGTCCTTGGATCCGGGCCTGTTTGATGGTACTTCCACCCCTGATTACTATATAGAGGAGGATGCTGACTGGTGATAATGCTATGGTGTGAGCGTTTAGCTATGTGTGTGTGTGTGTGTGTGTGTGTGTGTGTGTGTGTGTGTGTGTGTGTGTGTGTGTGTGTGCATGTGGACGTATGCCTGAAAATGTATGAGTTAAAGTGTGTGAGTGTGCACAAGCGTTTGTGTGTGCCTTCAAATGTAATCCCAGTGAAAATACAGGAAAGAGGAAGAACTGCTGCCTCCTTGAAATGTACATAACGACACTTAAAAGAAACATCTATGTAAATGAAATATATATTTATATATGTATGCATATGTACATATGTTTACATTCATATAAATATATACATGGGATCATTTGCGTGTGAATATGTTTATGCTGTTATAATAATGCTTTATTTGTGGTAATATATGTCTCTTTTTTTATAAACTGGAAACTTGAATTACTGCTGAGCATTTGTAAATAGGAACTCTTGTGCACCTTGTGTTTGCTGATGTCTTCATGTGGAATGCTTCTTTTTCATGACTGCTTTTACCATGAACCCAAGAGCTCCAGGCTGTCTCCATACACCACAGTGCGAGGTCCATCTGTAAGATTCAAAGGTGCACTCAGTCATTTGAGGACGACAAACATGATCGCATGTAGGGCTGCACGATTTGGAGAAAAAATCCAATTGTGTTTTATTTGATCAAAATGTACAATTCAAAATTTGATTTACCACTATTTCATAAAAGAGCTGCAGGTTTGATGTGGTGGTTTTAACAGCACCAAAGAAAGGCCAGGCATAATCCCAAAGTATTCTACACAGTGCTACTGTTTATTTAAAAAAACCTCTTAAACATTGAGCATGTTTACACGGACACCAATAATCCGATTTTAATACTATTAAAACAATACTCTGATTAAGAGTCTACCATGTAAACAGTGATTTTTAAATAATTTAATCTGATTAAAGTCAGAATTAAACTAAACAGAAATCGAATAAAGACATGTGGAGGACCGATTTTAGTCGCATTATTGAAGTGCAGTTCAGACATGTAAACACCGCAATCAAATTATTACCGTCGTTTAGGATTTTCACCACTTTTTGTGATAGGATGTCAAATTCCATTAAAACTAAACTTCTCCAGCAGCAAACTTGCATCCAATATCTCTTTTGTCACAGGGGGCATGCATGAAATGTTCCTAAATGAAAATGAATGTGCCAAACCGCAGTTAAAATCGACAAATTAAAAATGAAATTACATGAAAGCGAAATTACATGAAACTCTGGAGGAAACGTAGATAGCATGGTAATGCAATAATGTTAATCGAATTATGTGCTATAACATGTAAAACAGGATCATAAAAGAAACGTTCAAGAAGCAACTCCTGTAAACATCTTGATCATATTATTGTCTTATTCAGATAAAGGCAAATAATTTGATTGCTGATGTCCATGTGAATGTAGACACTTTTGCCATTTTTTCCAATAAAGAACTACAGTATTCTAAATTCTATTAAATTAATTATATATAAAATCTTATATGTATATATATATATATATATATATATATATATATATATATATATATATATATATATATATATATATATATATATATATATATATACATTTAGATTGTGTTACATTTTTCACATTGTTCAGGGTAATGTTCAGGATAAGCTGTCCGAACTGTCCAAAACGATATGTGTGTTATCATATTTGATAGTGCATTGATTTAATCACAGCTTTTGCTATTTGAAAAGTGCACCCTTTCAAATAACGATTTGGGTTTAGAAACGAATAATCATGCTGGTCTAACCACATGAGATGTGCATCTAATGAAAACTGATTTATTGGGGCCATGTTGAAATTACATGACCATATCCGTATCAGCTAATACATGCTCATTTTTAATTCTATTTCTATTGGGCCACTGAGAAACAAGTTATTTGATGATAAAAGATTATTTCCGGTTATTATTGCTTTTTATTATTATATCGGTATTGCCCAAAATGCGCACATCAAACCAAAAATAGCCCTATAAGCCTAATCAAATCACAATGTGGACCAGTGATTGTAAAACAGTTTTTTAGGGGCAAACACTGACTAAGGTGTATTTAGGATAAAGAAATGTCCCTATCTTCCCAGGTCAATCTCACATTTTAGCTTTATTTTTAGTGCACTGACTTAAGAAAAAAAAACGTGTTCTGTATTTCATTTTCTTAAAAAGTCTTCATTCCTGAACACTAGTAGTAGACTTCTGTCATTTAAAAATAGCCTAAACAAGTCGTAGCCAATCATGTCATAGTATACGATTGATTTGCTTTTATCAGCATTATTATCGGTTATCAGCAACCAAATATACAGGTTGTTGGTAATTAATTGTGGCCAGTAATTGTAAACAACTTTCTTGATTTCAAATAACCAAACGTACATTTTTTTTAATATAAACATTCAAATTTTGTGTACAAAATGTACAGAATTTAGGGGGAAAATGTAACTACAGTATTTGACAAGCTAATATTACTTTTTTGCTTTTATCAATCCAACTATTTATTATTAAAATGTTTAAAATGGCTAGGCTATATTAACTAATAATGACTGAGTGCACCTTTAATGTTTAACATTAGGATCTGCTCAGTGACATCCAGATCAGATGGTTTTCTAAATGATGTTTGCCTTAGCTGTTCATCGCGGTAATCAAATCGCTGAGGAACGTCTGCATAACGGTGCAGTCACATTAGCAAAACTTCTGCCAGATTTTGTGGATCCATCTAGCGATTTATAAAGCACAACCTACAAAAAATATTTCAAATCAAACAGTTTTCTGTTGTTGATTGTGTGACCAACTTTATCACTCTCATGCAAAGCTCCTGAACGCATGGATTTGGTCCGTTAAATTTGGCAAAGCACCGCTAAATGTGGTCGCACTTTAGCTGATGAAATTTTGTATGTTTACCTCAGAGTTACACTCAGCTGCCGAACCAGGACAACGATCGTTTGACAGCAGTTTTTTTATTACGCATTTTAACGCACTTCTTGCAAGGCTGCACCAAGGATCATTTTAATCTTGACAAATGTGAACTGAACACCTCCCACAAGCTACTTTATAGTCAGGAAAGACATCGTAAATAATATTGTAGGTCATTTAGTTCCATTATGATGATAGATTGCAGAGAAAAGATAAAGTGATTCAGTTCAAATTGGACTGAAGTTACAGTACGCATTAGTCTGGCCTTGTCCGAGCTATTATTTTGTGCGGTCCAAAGTGACTGCCCCTATTTGCTAAAAGACATGTAGCATTATTTATTAGACTGTTTCCATTTTGAAAGTATCCTACATTTTATAGCCTCTAAGGAATATGTTTGATTTTTAAGTGATATGGGGGAAGTTTGTTTCCGCGCAGATCTGGAATGTACTCAAACCAGGTGCCGACTTTACATCAACAAAGTGCCAAAAGGTCATAGTGCAGCTTGCAGATCACAAGAAAACACCTAGGAATATTTTCACAAATTTTTGTTCTTCTTTTTCTCGTGTGCAAACAGACTGTCTGTAAAAACTCATCACACACCCTGCTTCCATAACATTCTTTTCCATTAATGTTGAACCCAGTGATGTCATGACTCCCGTCTCGCTGCCATATCACATATTACTTTACGTTTCAAGCTTTCCTTTGCATCTTGGTGGCACTGAATTTATTGGTTTTTATTTTCTGGATCTTTTAAATTAAACTGAACTTCATTCCTCGTGTCACTCTAATGACTTTATGTTGTAAGGTTTGTAAAGTAGAATATGTCAGATATAAGAGTTTAAAGAGATTAAAGAACTTTATTTAAAGATTAAGAAAGAGGTCATTTCAATATCTTTGAAATAACAAGCAGACTGACATTCAATCGACAAAAAGCGACAAGTAAATCTTATTTTAAAAATAAAAACACATAACCCAACATCCATGTGCCTTTCTTCTTGACCCTGTGTGTGTGTGTGTGTGTGTTTGTGTGCGAAATTTCCTCTTAACCCTCTTGTTCTGGGGTTTGCCGTGGTTTGGGGCGACCCTGCTCTGCTCTTCATTTGTAATGACCCACCATCTGTGTTAACACGTGTCCTAACATTGTCTTTCCTCAGTGGATGAGAATGCCCCAAACTACATACTACATTCATAACTCATATGAATATGTCAACTGGAACAAGTCTATCATGTACACTGTTATGCTAAACATGAGCACGGTCATGAGCACCTCTCCCCGAAACATCATCTCATGACTGGTTTTTTATTTTATTTTAGGGGTTACTTCACACCAGAATTAGACTTCTATCATTTGCTCACCCTCGTGTTTTTAAAAATTTGACAATTTTTTAGGGGCAAACACTGATTAACCCTTTCTTCTTAGGACATGTCTTATATTTTAGCTTTACTTTTAATGCACTGATTTAAAAAGTCCAATTTGTCATTGTTGAACACTAGTAGTAGACTTCTGTCATGTGAAAATAGCCTAATGGAATCATAGCTAATCATGTCATAGTAAATTTTTGAGAAGAAAAACAAAGACATTTCTATATTGATCAAGTTGCAATTAGTGAAGGTAGAACAGCCAATTCCAGTGTCAGTGTTAAAGAACACAAAGCAAAAAAATTAAAAACATGAATTATCATATTTACAGAGTAAACAATGAATTATATATACGTATTTCATGATTCACTGGTTTTTTTGTGTTTATTTATTTACAGTTATGAATTGCATTACGGGACCCAGATCTCTGCTTGGTTGACTTTTGATATGGACAACTCAACGGTGCTGATTAACAGTGACTTTATTTGACATATAGTAGTTTAAAACAGTATTGTTTTAGGAAGTATTATATAGAGAATAAAGTCTGAAAATAACAGAAAAGTACTGGAAATTTATTACCTGGTTTTTGTACCTGGTTGTACTTTACAACACCAACACAGACAATATTTTCACTTTTTAACTTCAAACATTTTGTTGGAGGAAAGATCCC